AGCCCACGTGACAGAGTGAGACTTCATCTAAAAATAAAAAATAAATAAAAAATAGACTTGTAAAGGAGGTCAGGAAAGTCTTTAGTTCTATGGTTTAAGATAACTTACTGCTCCATGGTTTAGAGTTCAGAAAGAGTTCTTTTTTAATTAATTTGTAATAGTGTATGCTGTTATTATTTTTTCTATATCAAGGTTCAACTCTGCAAAGATCCAAACTCAGCCAGTCATGTAATCATCTTCTTTACGGGAGGAATAAACGAGTTTAGGGTTGACGTGCTGCGGGCATCCAAGCCCTTTCTCAGCTAGCGCATTTTCAATCTGAGTAACTTAAATCCCAAATCCCCGGGGGCCCAGAACTTATCTTCTTCATCTCTTGTAAAGGGCTGAACGGACTGTGGGTATTCAACAAGTCATAAATAATGCTATGTTATATATCAATAGCATGTGCAGGCTAGTTGGAAAAGGCTGATTCCGATCAAATCAAGGCCCAAACATCACCCAAGCCTTGGGTTTCATCCAAATGTGACCTCATGGGAAGACTTTTTGAAAATTGAGAGGAAGAGTGTACCTGCTTCTCTGCATTTCTTCCATTTATATGGATGTCCTTGCAGGTAGGAGGATCAGGTTTTCTTACAATAGAAAGATCTTTTTCTTTTCTGTTATTACTCATGATTCCTCTGGTTTCACACTTTACTGGCCTTCAGTTAATATCTAATTGAATCAACAATAATAATAGCTAATATTTATAAAGCTCTTAGCGGTACGTGGAGCTCTGTGACCGTTGCTTTACCCAGCGCATCTCCTTCAGCCATGACCCTGACGCCATGAGGCAGGTTTCATTATTAGTTCCATCTTACAGAAGGAAAGGTGGAGGTTCAGAGAGGTTTAGTCACTTGCTCAAAGTCACCAGCTAGTGAGTGGTAGAGGAGGATTTTAATCCAGGCTTAGAACCACTCTGTTATACTATGTCTGTAAATCATGATTGAATATACTAATATTTGTGCCTGAGTCTAGACCAGAAAAGGAGGGAATAATTGAGACTCAGGGAAAAAAACAGCTTGCCAGGTGATTCTTAATGTTTTTAGTTTTTTTTTTTGAGACAAAGTCTCACTCTGTCACCCAGGCTAGAGCACAATGGTGTGCTCTCAGCTCACTGCAACCTCCACCTCCCAGGTTCAAGGGTGTCTTGTGCTTCCGCCTCCCAAATAGCTGGGGTTACAGGCATGTACCAGCATACCCAGCAAATTTTTTGTATTTTTAGTAGAGGCAGGGTTTCACCACATTGCCCAGGCTGGTCTTGAACTCCTGAGGTCAGGTGATCCACTGGGCTCAGCTAGGATTTTAGGCGTGACCCACCACACCCAGCCAGATGCTTGACTGTTTAAGCCTCAGAGGACATGATGGTTCCTGCGTAAATGGTTGATTGGCTCTGAGTATAATCACTCCTTCATGTCACAGTAACTTGGCATTGGGCATTGAAAATAACTTCAGATATTATTTAGTCAAACTCCTTATCCTTCCATGGAATAACGTATCCTCTGCTTGCATGCACCCAGGGCTGGGCGGCTCACTACCTGAAGTACCTTGAGCGGCTGGGTGGGGAGGTTGCCCTTTTCTCAGATTTACCCCTAAGCAATAAGTTGGTGCCTAAATCCTGGTGCTTCATTAGAAATACAGATCCATTCACATAAGTCAACAGTGCTTGGTTTGTTCTCTGGAAGAAACAGAGGATACCAGAACTCACTGAGCCCAAGTTTCCATATTCTACACCCAGCTCCACAACTCCCGAATCTACAAAGGCAAAACAAGATGGTGCTGTTTTGTGGTGCATTCTGGGAGGGGAAAAAAAAAAAAGTCTTGCAAGTTTTTTGCTTTTTTTTTTTTTTTTTTTTTTTAAAAAAAGGGTTTTACCATGTGGTCCAGGCTGGTCTCAATCTACTGGGCTCAAGGAATCCACCCACTCAGCTTCCCAAAGTGCCAGAGTTACAGGTATAAGCCACTGCGCCCAACCTCATATATTCTATGGAAATGCCCAGGGAACCTCTGAAGCCCTTTCTCCCCCTTGGTGTCCTCTCTACGGCACAGGGGTATCTTTCTGTTTCTCTGAACACTCAGGGGTTCTGATAGGACCTCTCCCAAGGCTGTAGTCCTAACTTTTAGCCCACCCTACTTCCCTTCTCCTATCCATATCCAGCCCCCTCCACCCCCATAGTCCCCACAGGCTTGCTCAGGTGAACTGTTGTGGTGACAAGCATTGTCGATGAAACCAGAAGAAGCTGTGTTTATGTCCCACATTGACTGGGTGGCCTTGGTCAAGCATCTTAACCATTTTGAACCTCAATTGTTCCATTTGAAGATGGGCTTAATAATACCCACCTCAGTCCAGGCACGGTATAACCCCAGTATTTTCCAAGGCCGAAGCAGAAGAATTGCTTAAGGCCACAAGTTCAAGACCAGCCTGGACAACACAAAAAGACCTGTTTCTATTTTTGAAGAAAACAATAACAATAATAGCTACCTTGGGAGGCTGAGGTGGGCAGATCACAAGGTCAGGAGATCAAGACCGTCTTGGCTAACACGGTGAGTGAAACCCCGTCTCTACTAAAAAATAAAAAAAATTAGCCAGGTTTGGTGATGGGCACCTGTAGTTCCAGCTACTCAGGAGGCTGAGTCAGGAGAATTGCTTGAACCCTAAGGTGGAGACTGCAGTGAGCCAAGATTGCACCACTGCACTCCAGCCTGAGTGACAGAGAGAGACTCCGTCTCCAAAAAAATACAAAAACAAATAATAATAAGAATAGCTACCTCAGAGGGATAAAGCACATGTAGACAAATTAGCATCTAGTCCCCAGCATGTTAAAGAAAAAAAAAAAAGCAGGCTCAATAAGTACTAGATTCTTGACATTGAAACACACAACTATTTTCCTCCGTGCGGAGGGAATTCTATGGTGTGAACAGGGCCCAAGGGAACTGAACGCTCTGTTCAGCATGACTCAACTGAAAATAAATCTTCTCTTCCAGGCCTCCCTGCTTCGTGCAGAGTGTTTGTATTCTTTTGAGTCCAATTCTTGGATCACTGCACCCAAGGACACACAGGCCATCCACAGCTGAGCCAGTGCTCAACTCAAGTCTGTGCAATGCCCAGACCTCTGCTTTCCCATAGGGGCACCTGGACATAATAATTCAGGACAGAAATAGAGAGGTCACCGTCTCCAGTCCACACAGCCACTGTCCCTGCAGAAAGAAGTGCAAAGAGGGTGCTCACCTATTTCATTCTCCCCAGCTGTGTGGAGGGGTGTCATTTTGCAAGACCCCCAAGCTTTGAAGAATATAGCATTCCTACAAGCAAAGGACTAAGGTGACTTTCCAACTGAACACCCTGTACTGGACCCTCTTTTCACCTGGCATAGGTGTATCTTTTGCAAAGGGGTTAAGTTAGCTGTGCTACCTCCCCAGATGTCTTGAATTCTAGCTCCGGGCTCAAGCAGACCACCCTCACCCTTAGCAGGTTCTATGAACACATCCTAGCTGTGCCACCTGCCAGCTCTGAAATAATATCCATTTGTGTATTGATCTATAATGCATCTCTCCCCACTCACGTGAGCCCCATGCCAGCAGGGGATTTCTGTGTGCCTGGTGCTCAAGAGATACTGAATATACATTTGAATGAATGGATGAATAGACCAGCAACCCTCCGTAAAATTAATCATCTCTAAAATTAAGACTGTACTTTCTGCCATGTGGTTATGGTAAAGATTCAATAGGAATGCCCACGTGTACAAAAAGCATGTCATATGAGGACTTGCAGAGTGTAAATATTTGATAAGTAGTGCTTTTTAAAAGAGATACACAGCACATACACAGACACACAGAGACAGGGACAGACACAAAGACAGGCACAGACAGACAGACACATACAGATAGACACTGGGGCAGATAGAGACAGAAAAACGCTGACACACAGACAGACAGACGCACAGATAGACATATGTACACACATATGCATGGACCCACACGCACACAGACACACAGTGGGGCACACAGGAAGCAACAGGAATTTATCCCAGCCATGGCTCTGTTCCCTCACATACAGCCAGCCTCCACCCCAATGAACCCCAACACCTCCGCCTCCCCCGCCACCCCCCCAACTCCTGTTTGGAAAGTTGGGCTGGCAAGGCAGCTGGATTGGCTGAGACCCCTTGAGCGGTTTTATTTTTCCGAGTGCGGTTTTGAAGTGACATGGCAAGTAATGAGAGGAAATAATTCTGCTCATTGTCGAACAACCAGAGTACACCGTGGCAATGTGTATAACAGATGTGTGTGCGGGGAGGGATTTCTATACATGATTGTGTGCCCCAGTCTGTCTCTGAAGATGGGGAATTCAAATCGGCATTTTGATTCTTTTTAAAGGAAAGTAAGCAGGAGGAGGGCTTGAGCCCATTTCAGGGGTGTTTTAAGTTGGATACCCTTGATACATGTGGTAGAATTGCCTGCAACCTGGTTTCTCCCACAAGAAACCATGGGACACATGCTGAGGTTCATTCCTCAAATGTGTATGATATCACACGAGTGAGTTTTATCTTCCCTTCCCCCAAAAAGAATCTTGAAAAACTTTAGGCAAAGCAAAGAACACTTCATGGCACCATCTAGACAAGCCTAGGACTCTGGCTACCTTTGATGTGTAGTTGTGATATTAAGCCTGTCCCTTGTTTCCTGTAAAATTCATTTCATGTCTCTTCTTAATGACAAAGCCCACTCTCAGGCACTCCTGCCTTTCCTGCACACTAAATCTCTCCCCTTCCTCTGGGTTCTCGCAGCACTTTTCCTCTGAAGTCAAGGATACATTATCTTATCTTTGTTCTTACTGAAGAGGCCTTCGCCAGAGGTCAAGGTCGTGCTCTTTCTCCCTTGAGAAGCCAGTAACTTCCTCTGGTCCACAGGCATAAACTACACCAAAGATTACAACTGGCTGCATGTGAGCTACGGTTCAGCCCCCAGACTTGTTATGTTTGGCTCACAGAGTTTTGGCGCACACAATATATTTTTTAAAATTTGACTCATTTGCCAACACTTAAAAATCAGAAGCTTTCACGCTGAAAAAAAATCCAATTTTCCAGCTTTTCTTGAAAACTTGAAAGTTTTAGCAACATTAAACCTACATTTCTACAAGGTCGTAATCAGCTAGAGCTGAGTGGGGGGTGGTCCCTTGAGACAGGACTCTGTATTTTGCCACAGTCCCCCCACTCCTTATTGCCTCCTTATTGATAACTGTGTCAATTGCTGTTATCATTGAGCTTCAGAAAGTAAAGTAGGTTTTATACCCATGTCTCTTGGCCTATAATCCCAGCAACTTGGGAGGTCAAATCAGTCCTCGGCCAGAAGCAGAAGGAGCATGGATGTGATTGCACTCTCTCATTCTTTAGCACATGTCTGCTAAGGGTTTCCTCAGTGCCCAGCCCTGACCCCCATCCTGAAGCTGCACAGGTCAAGGGCTAGATGTTCTCCTGATTCCCTGGCAGTTCACATTCCAGGGACACCCACACATTCAAAAAACCCTGCTCAAACCGAGTTATCAAAATGCCAGAGGGTCACCGACACAGTGATTTATAGCAAGGATTTATTCCGCCCAGCTCAGGTGTGGGGATTAAGCAAACACTGGGGAAAGGACGCCATAAGCAGTGGGAATGGCACATGCAAATGCAGAGATGAAAGCCCCACGTGTCTGGAGAACTACGAGAAGATCTGTATTGCTGACGGCCAGGCGTTCTAGAGACTGCATCCACGCATCCACCCACATTAGAACATAAACTCCCTATAAACATAAACTATAACTATAATCCCCAACACATAGAAGCTGCTCAGTAAATATTTGTGCAATGAATATATCCAAACATCTATCAAGAACGTTCTAGAATACTCTGCCAGGGAATTAAACACCAAACAGATCCAGCTTTCTAGGTGTGCTCAGAAACTGCAGGAGGTGATTACAGGTAAGGAAATGGATGGCTGCCATACAATGCAACAGATAATAAGATTTGGGAACAGCTAAAGTGAACATCTCGGTAAATCAAGTAAGAACCCTAGAGAACGTGATGTTGGCCAGGCACAGTGGCTCATATTATAGTCCCAAGACTTTGAGAGGCCGAGGAAGGCAGATCACTTGAGGTAAGGAGTTCACTTGAGGTAAAGAGTTCACTTGAGGTAAGGAGTTCAAGACCAGCATGGCCAACGTGGTGAAACCCCATCTCTACTAAAACACAAAAATTAGCTCTGTCACCCAGGATGGAGTGCAGTGATATGATTTCAGCTCATTGCAACCTCACCTTCCAGGCTCAAGCGATTCTCTTGTCTCAGCCTCCCAAGTTGCTGCGATTACAGATGTGCACCAACACACCCAGCTAATTTTTGCATTTTTAGTAGAGACAGGATTTTACCATGTTGGCCAAGCTGGTCTCAAACTCCTGACCTCAAATGATCCAGCTGCCTTGGCCTCCCAAAGTGCTGGGATTACAAGCATGAGCCAACATGCCCGGCCATTGTTTTGTCTTTGACAGAGTCACTCAGTTGCCCAGGCAGTGGTGCAATAACAGTTCACTGCAACCTCAACCTCCCAGGCTCAATCAATCCTCCCACTTCAGCTTCTGGAGTAGCTGGGACCACAGGTGCATGCCATCATGGCTGACTAAATATTTTTTTTTTTTTTGTAGAGACAGGATCTCACTATGTTGACCAAGTTGGTCCTGAACTACTGGACTCAAGTGATCCTCCCACCTCGACCTCCCAAAATGTTGGAATTGCAGATATGAGGCACCATGCCTGGTCAGTGTTTAGCTTCCAATCCTAAGATGTAGGTACTATTTTTACTCCCAATTCACAAATGAGGAAACCAGGTTCTCAGGTGCAAAGTACCCCCCGTACAGGTCATAGGGCTTAAATCACACAGATAACTGAGACTTGAACCCAGAACCATGAGAGCAATAGAGGCATCTTGCAGCTAGAGAAGGCAGGGGAAAAAAAGGAACAGAGGAGGATGAGGAGGCAGGTGTATCACTTTATCTACATGCATGTCTTCCTGGCTCCTGAATGCAAACCCAGGCCTGGGTAATTAAGGTGGAATGAAGGTGGGGAGGAAGGAACAATGGGGCTCATTCTCCACCTACCTGGGTATGGTAGTTACCATGGAGACCAATCAAGGTGATGGGACTAGAGATCAAAGGCCTTGGGATTTTCTTTTCCATGCCAGCTGAAGGCTCCGCTGTTGTAGCTATTGGAGAACCAGACAGAGAACACCGCTCGCTGTCTCAGTTCAAGAAGAGACAGTCTCACAGCATCTGCTTCTGAAGCTAGGAGATAAGGCGGGGTCAGATATTCGTGCCCTTTAATGATTATGTTCTGTTATCTTTGATTTTTTTAAGACCATGCTTGTCAAAAACTCAAGCAATGGATGCTCAATAAGTATGCACTAAAGAGAAAATTCTCTCTCCTAATTGGAGTCTGAGCATGGACACTTTCTAAAAAGACACATAATAAATGGAAAGCCTTGACCGCCGTTGCAAAGAAAAACTGGAAGCTTGTGGACAGGGGAAGAGAAAAGTCTTCCCTGTATACCTTTCTGTGCTTTTTGATTTATTATTTAATTGAAAACATATAAACTCTAGATTAAAATAATGAATACAAATATAATTTTTAAAACAAGAAAGTATAATATTTAACCAACACTTAAACATTGGTTACGTAGCTTATGGACCTTTTCTCCTTGTATATAGAAACATAGATATAAAATGTATATGAAATGTATCTGATTGTTAACTAAAGATGAAATTAATGGAGAAACTTGTATTGGTCTATGTCGTATTTCTTAAAGATTTCATGAGGCTGGACACAGTGGCTCGTGCCTGTAATCCCAGCACTTTTGGAGGCTGAGGCAGGAGGATCGCTTGAGCCCAGTAGTTCACCACCAGCCTGGGCAACATAAGGAGATGTTGTCTCTACAAAAATAAAAAATTTAGCCAGACAGAATGGTGCATGCCTGTGATTCTAGCTACTCAGGAGATTGAGGCCAGAGGATCACTTGAGCCTGGGAGGTCGAGGGTGCTGTGTGCTGTAATCATGCCACTGCACTCCAGCCTAGGCAACACAGCAAGACCCTGTCTCACAAAAGAAAAGAGTTTTGGGAACTTCTGTTAGAGCATGATCTAGTCAATCTATTCATGAACAAGTAGGTCCCTACCTTTCTTTAAAGAGAGGATTTAAGATTTTGCCCCTCCAGTTTTTTAGCTCAGCTGTCATCCTGATCTAAAATGGAGCAGGGCAGCTCCCTGGGGATTTCAACACGAGGCCAACTCAAACCTTGAGCGTTTCAACAACTGAGTCAGGCAGGCCCCACAACCTGGTGGAGAGATGCAGGAGCTCTTGAATCAGACTCTTTAGCCCCAAATCTGGGCTCTGCCCTTTACTGTCATGGGGACTTGGGATAAACCCCAACATCCTCATCTAAGAGGGCACCAGGGTGTCTACGCCAAAGGGTACCTTTTGAGAAGCAAATGAAAAACATCTGTATGCAACACCCAGCCTACCTGCCTGGCATAGGGTACACCCAACCTACTGCCAGGTACAGAGTACATAAGCACCCAGAAAATGACTGATTTTAGTACCTTTATCACCATAGTGTTATTACTTCCTCCAGAACGACCATTAGCTAAGCCTCTTCTCATCCACCCCTCACTCAACACATCCTAATTGAGTGCCTAGTGTGTACCCATCTGGGGTCCACCCTGGACAAAGATGAAAGCTCACATCAAAAGAGACCTGTAGGCCAGGCGCAGTGGCTCACACCTGTAATCCCAGCACTTTGGGAGGCCGAGGCGGGTGGATCACCTGAGGTCAAGTGTTCAAGACCAGAGTGGCCAACATGGCGAAACCCTGTCTCTACTAAAAACACAAAAATTAGCTGGGCTTGGTAGTGGGTGCCTGTAGTCTCAGCTACTCAGGAGGCCGAGGCAGGGGAATCACTTGAACCTGGGAGGCGGAGGTGGCAGTGAGCCAAGATTGCGCCACTGCACTCAAGCCTGGGCAACTGAGCAAGACACAGTATCCCCCACCCCCGCCAAAAAAAAAAAGGCAGGGGGGATCTATAGCCAGCATTGGCTCCAGAGCCCAGAATTTCACATTATGCTTCCCATCTGAGGTTGGTCTAAACTAGCCCTTCCAAAAAGAAAAGAGTGGGGTAGAAGGAAACTTAACCTCGAGTTCAAAGTCCCTGATAGGGCTCAGGACTATTGGGACAAAGGGCTTGTTTTCAGGGCTCTGGAAGATGTGCCCACAGGAGATGTTTCAAGAAAAATTTTAAGGTAGGTCCAGGAAGGACTTCCAGAGGCATTTTATTCACAAGTACTTCTAACCTAGTGGACTCATGGGAAAATCAGTGTGGATTCAGGTGTAAGTCACATCATTACGGCCCAGTACAGCAGCTCACCTCTGTAATCCCAGTAGTTTAGGAGGCCAAGGTGGGAGGATGGCTTGAGCCTAGGATTTTGAGACCAGCCTGTGCAACATAGGGAGACCCCATCTCTATAAAAAAAAGTTTAAATATTAGCTGGACTTGGTGGTGCATGCCTGTAGTCCCAGCTACTCAGAAGGCCAAGGTGGGAGGATCACTGACGTCCAAGAAGTCAAGGCTGCAATGAGGTGTGATTGTGCCACTGCTCTCCAGCCCTGGCAACAGAATGAAAACAAAAACGTAAATTATCCTAATAATAGTAATAATAGTAACAATATTAGCTACTGTTTATTAAGGGTTTGTTACGTGCCAGGCTCTGTGCTAAGAGCTTTCCATGTATCATCTAATTTCATCTGCCAATAACCCAAGAGATATAAAGTGTTCAGATCTACAGCAGATGAGCCATCAGCTCAGAGAGGTTAAGGGGCTTGCCCAAGGTTACACAGTCGGTAAACACCAAGCCAGAATTCCAACTCTAAAGCTCATGCACTGAAGCTGTCTGCCACTCACAAGTCAAAGAGAAAAGACTCTTCAAACTTTGAGAGTATGGACTTCTCTAAGAGACTCAGAAAACTGTGGCTGCCTTCTTCATGATCTCACAAAGGCCATCACAAAGAACACTTGCAAAGACCGTGGGAAACCGGAACGCCAACAGCAACAGCCTAGTAGTGGTCGTCACCCCTCTGGGTGTGCTCTGGGGCTGTGCACACAGGCTGGAACAGAGGGGCACGGAAACCTGAATCATTTCGCACATGGCCGTGGAAGACAATGGATGACATTGTGGGCCTCGGCAGCTAAACCTGAGAACCCTGGGGACCTGGCCACGTCTCTCTAATCGGATCCGAAAGCTGCATTCCTTCAGTTCCCCCCAGGTTGCTGCGAATTCCTCCAGCTTATTAAGCAGGTAAGACCCGTCTTTTTGATATAAAAACAATAGGCTGTATGCTGGGCTGGGCTGAGACCTCACAGAAAATAAAACCTCAGCAGCACAAAGCCTATCACCTCAAAAACACATCTGGAAAGCATTTTCTATTGATATAAAAATGGATGTGTGTATAATACATGTGTGTATTTATGAATCTGGTGTATTAATCACAAAGCCACAGTGAAAAAGTGCCATTTTTACCCCAGAGCCAGCCCCAACGATGAGCTTTCGAATGACTTTAGAGTTGCCTTATTTCAATCAAGGTCAAAAGCCGGGTGGGGGATGTTCGTATACACACCCTCTTCTTCCCCGTTCTTGGTTCCAAAACCCCAACTAGGCCAAATTCTGTCTGTTTTTTTTCTAGTGTCTTAGAGCACATACATCTGAAACTAGAATATGCTGGTGAGGTCGGCTGATTTAGACTCTTCTAAAGCTCTTACTTGACGGAAAGCCAGGTTTCTCGGAAGACTGTATTTTGCATAAGAGCTAGTTTGCATGGCTTCATTTCTTTTCTTCTTCTTTTAATCTTTGAAGAGATTTATTCCGAAACAATGCATGGCTTCATTAAGAAAAGAACTAGCGTAAGGAGAGAGTGACAGGAGTGAAGGTTGCACTATGAGGTTGCAAGTAAAACAGAGTCATTGCGAGTTTTCTACAGGTCCCACCGATGTAAGAGAAAGGGTGATGATTGTTGTCTGAACTTTGCAGGGTCTGGTCTCTCAGCCCAGAACTCTGTATAAATAATATCGTGTTCTAAAAGCCAGATGCGGTGGCTCACGGCTATAATTCCAGCACTTTGGGAGGCCAAGGCAGGTGGATCACTTGAGGTCAGGAGTTCAAGACCAGCCTGGCCAACATGATGAAACCCCAACTCTACTTAAAATACAAAAATTAGCTGGGCATGGTGGTGGGCGCCTGTAATCCCAGCTGCTCAGGAGGCTAAAGCAGAAGAATCTCTTGAACCCAGGAGGTGGAGGTTGCAGTGACCTGAGATTGCATCACTGCACTCCAGCCTGGGCAACAAGAGTGAAACTTCATCTCAAAAAAATAATAATTATTATTTTATACACACACACACACACACACACACACACACACACATAGCACACAGTAGATTCCCCAAATACATATATATGTACCGGTCATTGTTCCAGATGCTGGGGGTATAGTCATGAATGAGACAGACAGTGCTCTGTGTTCTTGTAGCTTATAGTCTAGTAAGGGAGGCAAATAACAGAGCAATAAATGAACAAACATAGAATATCATTGTGATGATATTTTAGACTCTAAGTTAGAGACCATGGGAAACCAGAAAGTCTAAAATATCATGATTATATTCTATATTTATTATTATTTCTAATTTTTATTATTCTATATTTGTATTGTTGAAATAAAATTGGCTTATGAAATGAACCACGGACCATAAAATGTAGCATTATTATGAGAAATATTAATGATGCACATATTATTATGTACATTTATTATATGTTTATTATTATTTATAATTGCTTTTTTATTCAGACTCTACATTAATCCCCTCCATGAGTCCTGCCTCCTGGTGTTCTCAGCTTTATGTAATTCCCTCTTAGAATATGGGTGGGACCTATGACTTGTTTCTAACCAATAAAATACAGAAACAGTGGTGGAATGTCATTTCTGAAACTATGTTACCTTATGAAGACTCTCTCTTGCTAGCAGACTCACTCTAGAGACTTTTACAAAACTGTCCACCTGTTTTCAAACTGATTGCCCCATTTTACATGCCCCCAGCAGTGTATGAGAGTTCCAGTTCCTCCACATCCTCACTAACACTTAGTGTGGTTAGCATTTTTCATTCACTTGATTTTAAAGAGTCAACGTAAAGCCGGTGGAGGTGAGCAGTACTAGAACCGCCATCTCAGAGGCCCAGGATTTTTGAATTTAGGCATACTGAACTTGGTGTATTAGGACAACCCTAGCTGATGTAACAAATTGACTAAAAAATTTTAGTGGCTTCACACAATGGAAATGTATTGTTTACACTCACCTGAAGGTCCAGGGTGTGTATTCCCCAACACCACAATTCAGAGACTTGGAATTGCTACATACTCTTGGTCTGCCACCCCCTTAGGAACTCACAGCCCTCTGCAGCCATCAACTATACCGGGAAAAAGAGGACAAAGAAGCCCCATTGCTTTTTGACATCTCTGACTCAGGAATGGCTCAATCTCCTCATATTTTATGTGTAAGATCCAGTCATATGGCCCTCGCTGGTTGCAGAGGAGGCCCGGAACTATTGTCCCTATCTACACCATGACCTCCAAGTAACAACTCCTCACTCTGGAAATGCCAAGTGGTCACAAATGTTTGTTGGGCTTCCAGCCATCTCTGCCATGTCCAGGTTTATCTAACAGAGCAAACCCAGATGCTGACCCCAGCCCCAGAAGGACTGAGGAAGAACCACTGTTCTTGACTTCCTGATCCCCCATGGACACCCCAGAAGGGGAGGTCCAGATCCAGATTCAGCTGGATACTGCACATTGCCAGCATAGGTTTCCCATGACTACATTCTGAGGTCTGCCCAGCCACTTCCTGCCAGCTCTCCTCACGACCTCTCAGTTCTCCCAAACAACTCTAGGGGCTTAACCACAACAATTTTACTACTCTTGACAAACCAGCTTTTGGAGCCAAAACAACGTGTGAGCATTTTCTATTCACAGGAAAGTGGGTGGGTTTCAGCAAGTCCCCAAACGGCTCCCGCTGAACTCGTGTTTTGGTAAGAGCACTTGGGATAAAATCTTCCAGAGGCAGAGATTTCCAGATCCTCTGAACATGAGAAGTTGACTAACAAAAATAATAATAATAATAACAGTAGCTACCACTAACTTGGTACTTCCTGTGGTGCTCCACTGTGCTAAGCATTCAGTGTGCCTCTGATATTTCTCATAACAATGCTGCATTTCATGGCTCATGGTTCATTTTATCAACCAATTTCATAGGTAGGAAAAACTGACACAGCCCAGTAAACTGACTTTTCCCAATGTCATTGGGCCATTAGCAGAGCCAGAATTTTTCCCAGGGCCATGCTATTTCAAAGCCACATCTTGTTCCTCTGTATGACAGCTCTGTCCCTAAGTAACCAGGCATCACAAGAATTTTCTCAGCCCGCTCTGAGAACATCAGCAAACTCTCTGCTGCCAACGAACTTGCCAGGACCATTGGGCATCCATAAATGACCTGCCCCCTCAATCTCTTTGGTCCCTGTTCTGCCTGGAAGGCGGAGGATCGAAGTGAGAGGGCCCATTTAAGAACTGAAATGGGAGCGGAGCAAATGGTGATAGAAATGAACTGAAACTATCTTAGGTGGTAACTTAAAGGGGCTTGGAGCATAAAGAATGCTCTTTCAGATCCTGAAAGAGCCACTCGTGGTGGTGGGCACCTGTAATCCCAGCTACTTGGGAGGCTGAGGCAAGAGAACTGCTTGAACCCAGGAGACACCGGTTGCAGTGAGCGGAGATTGCACCACTGTACTCCAGCCCAGCAGAACGAGACTCTGTCTCAAAGAAAAACAAATAGAAGAAAAGAAAAGAGCTAAGATAAATTGGAAGATTCTTTCCTCCTCTCTAGCGTCATATTCTCAGAAATTTTTCTGTATTATTGCATTCCAATCCTTATAAACGATTGTTTTATGCAGTTTTGTCTAGTTTTATCTGTTTCTGGTGGAAGAGTTATTTTCATACAAGCTACACTGGAACTGACTTTGGCATTGAAACCTCTTTCTGTGCCTGGTTCAAACCAATCCCTATACTGTAATGGTTATGAGCCTAGGGTTGGAGCCAGGGTGCCTGAATTTAAACTCCGTCTCCGAGACCCTCTGGCTCTCAGTCTCAGGCTTCTTGCTTAACAGCTCTGTGCCTCCATTTCTATATAGGTGCTTTTATGGTTATTATTTATTTAATAAATGGAGAAACCAAGACCCAACATGACACCTGGCAATTTGGTGCTGAATCTAAAGCTCGGGTGTCCTAACTTCCAGCCCAAAGCATAGAGAAAAATAATGGCATGTAGATAATAGCTGTAAGAGTGTTAACTCCCTAGAGCATGCATCAATCATTAATACAAAGTAAGGCCAGGGACAGTGGCTCACTCCTGTAATCCCAGTACTTTGGGAGGCCGAGGCAGGCCGATCACTTGAGGTCAGGAGTTCAAGACTAGCCTGGACAATATTCTGAAACCTCATCTCTACTAAAAATACAAAAAAATTAGCAGGGCATGGTGGCCCATGCTTGTAGTCCCAGCTGCTTGGGAGGC